TTCATCCATAATTATCATCTTGACACATGCTGCTCTACATCTTGTTTGACTAAATAATGAAGTAACAATATTACTACCACCCTTTCCATCTATTGAACCATCTATTGAACGTTGAAAACTTGGAGTGGTTTGTCCTTTGTCCTCCACCTTATATGTAGGAAGCATACTCGTTAGAACAATAGTTGCACTTGCCCCTCTTATTATTGTTCTCTAATCTTGTAAAGTGATCCCACACGGTTGATTTACTGGGTTTCTTCTTCTTAAATTCAGATTGTGTAGCCAATGGTGATTTCGATGCATTATAATTACCAGAGCTACTTGCACATACAGTTACACTATTGTTTTCCATAAAGTAAGATAGAACTATTATGATTCAAACATTTAACCCAATATGAACAATTATCATAGAATGCATCAAGGCTTGCACATACAGTTTGCACTATTGTTTTCCATCTATAAAAAGTAAAATAGAACTATTATGATTCAAACATTTAACCCAATATGAACAATTACCATAGAATGCATCAAAGTTAAAATATACAATTAGTCTTTGCACGGCGATATACAAAAAGAGAAAAAGCTTACCCATTATAGTGTTCCAGGAGACTAAAGAGAGAAAGACGGTGCGCGAGAAAGAAACAAGACAAAGAACGCGAGAGAATGCTGTTGAGATCAAATTTCTTGTGAGAGACTAAGTATCGAGAGAGATTTGTATTTTGTGGAGAGGTTGAGAGCAGGGAGGCAAGGAGAAGAATGGATTTAATGGAGAGGCTGAGAGCAAAATGGATTGCAGAGAGGTAGAGAGTGAATGGATTGTATGGAGAGGAATGGATGAATGAATTGCAGAGAGGTAGAGAGAGGAATGGATTGCAGAGAAGTAGGGAGAGAAATGGATGAATGGATTGCAGAGTAAAATGAATTGCAGATGAATGGATTGCATAGTAAAATAAATGGCAGAGGCTGCAGAGTAAAATGAATTACAGAGGAATGAATTGCAGAGGAATGGATTGCAGAGTAAAATGAATTGCAGAGGAATGGATGAATGGATTGTAGGGAGAGAAATAGATGAATGGATTGTAGGGAGAGGATGAATGGATTGTAGTAGAGAGAGGATGAATGGATTGGAGAGTAAAATGAATGGCAGATGAATGGATTGCATAGTAAAATAAATGGCAGAGGAATGAACTGCAGAGTAAAATGAATTACAGAGGAAAGGATTGCAGAGTAAAATGAATTGCAGAGGAATGGATGAATGGATTGTAGGGAGAGAAATGGATGAATGGATTGTAGGGAGAGGATGAATGGATTGCAGTAGAGAGAGGATGAATGGATTGCAGAGTAAAATGAATTGCAGATGAATGGATTGCATAGTAAAATAAATGGCAGAGGAATGGACTGCAGAGTAAAATGAATTACCGAAGAATGAATTGCAGAGGAATGGATGAATGGATTGTAGGGAGAGAAATGGATGAATGGATTGCAGTAGAGAGGAATGGATTGCAGAGTAAAATGAATGGCAGAGGAATGGATTGCAGAGTAAAATGAATTGCAGAGGAATGGATGGGATTGGACAGTAAAATGAATTATAGAAGAATAAATTGCCGAGTAAAATGAATGACAGAGGAATGAATTGCAGAGTAAAATGAATGACAGAGGAATGAATTGCAGAGTAATGGATGATAGAGTAAAATGAATTGCAGAGTAATGGATGACAGAGTAAAATGAATTGTAGAGGAATGAATTGTAGATTAAAATGAATTGTAGAGTAAAATAAATTGCAGAATTGCAGAGTAATGAATGACAGAGTAATATAAATTGCAGACGGGAATGGATGAGATTTGTGAAAAAATTTAAAATAACAGTCATTCTTGCAGAGGGAGAGTGCCTATGACTAAGAGCATAACAGAGAGGGAGAGAGAAATTTCGTTCACAAATTTTGTAATTATTGGGTTTTGAAAGATCAGGTTTGGGCTTGGGCTTTGGTCAGAGACTAGACAATTATAGATTGGGCTTTGACTTTGGGCCTTTGGGCTTTAATTTCTTTATTTTAATATTTTCGAGTTGGGCCGGGTTGACCCAATCATTTTCTTTTGGTACCCGAACCCAATCCAAATTAGATTGGGTTAAAAAAATGGACCCAACCCAAACTCGAAATCCAACACAACCCAACCCAACCCTTATATTTCGGGTTGGGTTGGGTTGGGTTCTCGAGTTTCCAGGTTGGGTGTACACCCCTGTCGCAGGGTACTGTCCAGCTAGATTTAATATTTATCTATTAGTTTAGGGAGAGTGCCTCCTGCCAAGGACTCAGAGCACATAGCTGAGAGGGAGAGAGAAATTTCTTTCCCTAATAAGTAATGATTGGGTTTTAAAAGATCAGGTTTGGGCTTAGGCTTGGGCTTTGGTCAGAGACTAGAAAAATTGTAGATTGGACTTTGACTTTGGGTTTTTGGGCTTTAATTTCTCTTTATTTTAATGTTTTCAGGTTGGGCCGGGTTGACCCAATCATTTTCTTTTGGTACTCGAACCCAATCCAAATCAGATCGGGTTAAAAAAAATGGACCCAACCCAAACTCGAAATCCAACACAATCCAACACAACCCAACCCAACCCTTATATTTCAGGTTGGGTCGGGTTGGGTTCTCGAGTGTCCGGGTTGGGTGTACACTCCTGTGACAGGATACTGGGTACTGCTCAATTTAATATTTATCTGTTAGTTTATATTTTTCAAATCTACTTTTAGATCTGAAGTCTTTAAAAAGACTCCATCAATGTAAGGAGTACATGGATCCCTCTCTCTAAAATCAATTAGAAAATGAAAAGAAGAAAATTATCCTATTCTGCTCATCTCCCATTGTATTCCATCTTCCATACTTTCATCTTATGAACCAATTTATGAGAAAACTCATAAAATCAACCCATCTCAAATGCTCTACTGAGGAAGAAGAAAATTCAAATGAGCACAGAAGAGGAGAAAATCTCACCATAAAAACCGTCAATCAAGAATGTCAAATTGTGAAAATTGAAGACCAACTCCAAAACTGGACTATTACAAACCAAGATCTCAAAACTATCTACCAAATTTTTACTAAAAAAAATTGATCAATTAAATTCTAAAAAAAATCCCAATTTATAGCAATAGAAAATTTTCTCTGCTTTCAATTTTACTAAAAAAAATCTTCCATCAGGAAAAAAAAAAATATCCCAATAGGGAATCTTTGGATCTTTTTTCAAAATCAGTTGTACTCCAACATTGTGAAGAGTTTAATTATCTTCACGTCGGTCTTGTTCAAGTCGCAGTAAAATCATTGTTCAGACTTGGATTAGATATCCCAGTTCTTATCTCCCTTCGAGATAAGAGACATGAAGACTTCTCAAATTCTTTACTGGGAATGGTTCAATCTAATTTAGAAAATGGACCAGTCTATTTCAATTGCTATCTAAATTTTACTTTGTCACTGAACTACCCACACATATTATCAGTCTAAACTTACAGTCAAAAAACTTGAATATCAAGCTGAAACCCATTCTTCGGTCGTCATATTCAGAATTTATTAAAAGCTCATGAATACAAATATTTCTCCAAGAACATTAAGATCCTCGCCAAAGGGATCAATTATGCTCATAGAGGCAAATATTAGAAAGTCTTTCGTAACTGTTCCAAAAACTCTTTATTGGGATCAAATAAGCATAAATAATCTTTGAAAAATAGAAGATGCAAATCTTCCACATGTCCAAATCATTGAACATGACGACGGAAGCATTGAAATAAAATTCAGCGAAGAACCTTCGTCAGATTAGAAAGTAAGAGAATTCCCGAGTTCCAGACCGAATACTTCAGGAGTTCCAAACTCAATATATGACCCTTAAAGGTAAAAGAAGTCAGTTATGATCAAAGGAGGGCGTTAATACACTACGAAGATGGCTCAAAATCTCCAATCCATACTGATATGGATACTCAATCTGTCTACGAAAGTCAGCTTAATGTTATTAAAGCTGATTTCCAAATAGACAAGGAATTATTAAGAGCAGATTTCATATAATTTACCAACTCTTCAAAAAGAAACGTTTTCTTTCAAACCTACAAAGAAGATGAGTGATATGAATTAAGAGCTCAGTGGTATTCTCATATGGAAGCCATAGAAGAAAATATATCATTCTTTGAATGGTCGGAAGAAAATATTTTGCAGATATGCACCTTGACTTAGAGGAGCTGGAAGACTACCACAAGAAGTTGGAAGAAGTTGAATTTGACAACTACTACAGAGAAAAAGGTCAAAGTCAATCCTTTTAAAAGATATCAAAAATATCCAGCATCAAAACAATTATTCAAATAAGATTTTATCCACGATCACTACTTAACTTGAGAGTATTGAGGGAAAAATCTCGAATAAATCTGGTATTCAGCAAGAAAGTGCAAGCAGCTCTGTACCAAAGATTAATGAGTCAATACTAGTACTAATCTCGACATATTTACGAAAAGGGTTTCAAGAGAAGAGGTTGTAATAGCCAAAATAGAAGAAAAATTGGATTGGATTTTAAATCCTAGAGTAACACCTCAAGAATCATCTGTCAATGTCGTTAACAATTAGGACGAAATTCAGGAATTTGAAGATATTTGTCAATGTCGTTAACAATTAGGACGAAATTCAGGATATTTTTTTAGAGTAAGAACCCTCTTGAGAGGTAGTCTGTCAAGGGATTTTCGATCCCTTTATGGGAAAAATTTGAAAATCGAATCAAGATAAAATTGCTTGCCATATAGCAAAAATTTGTTTAGATATGAGATTCTTCACATCCTTTTCTAAAACAAATTTGGATGCTCTAGAATCCATTTTGATAACAAAGTTTTTGTGAATTAAATGTATACAGAGTACTATTGAAAGTATTTTTTTTTTCATTCGGTTGAGTAATTTTTTTTAGTAGAATTCCATATCCTTGAATGAAAGCGAACAATGGATTCTTTCTTGTCAAAAGACAGTTTTAGGATTCCTCTCTCCGCAACACAGAAACCACCTCCCTCAACCCTCTCCTCTCTCAGCAACACTGTCTAAGAAACCATCTCCCTCATCCCTCAACCCTCTCTCACTGCCGGCAACACTGTCTTGACAAAGAAATCATCTCCCTTCTCTCTCACTGGCGTACAACACTATTTTAGTAGAGAAGTCTCTCCCTCTCCCACCTATTTCGGCACGAGCAAACAACTCTCTCCCTTATTTCGGGAAGACCTTGCAACTCTCTCCCACCTATTTCGGCAAGACTATCTCAGCAAAAATCACTCTCCCACTATTTCGGCAAGCAGTGAACGGGTTCTTAGGTATGGGTTAGTTTAAAATCTTATGCCCATGTAGTTTTCATCCCCGGTTGGTTTAAAATCTTATGCCCATGTAGTTTTCATCCCCGGTTGGTTTAAAATCTTATGCCAGTTTTCATCCCCCTCTCTTTCTATTTTCCTTCTTTTTTAGATTTTGTTTAGTATTATGAGGTTTGGATTGGGGATTGAGGTCTTATAATAATTTTTCCTCTCAATCTAGTGATGTATGAGTGTATGAATGAATTTTTTTTGCTACTGCAATGTGTTATAGTAATTTGTCCTCTCAATCTAATGATGTATGAGTGTATGAGTGAGTTTTTTTTGCTGCTGTAATGACCATACTAATGTATATAAACGCATACTCCATATTTAATTTTTTTTGCTGCTGAAATTTGTTGTTACGGTGACTTTTCACTCGACATCACTAGAGTAGCAACATTTTGAGGGAAAAAACACATACTTATACTAATATATATTTGGAGCCGATAAACACACACTACTCCATCAATGATTATTCTGCTACAAAATAGATATATCCTCTTGTAAGAAAAATATTTGTAGCTTTCTAGTGATATATGAGTGAAATTTCTAGTAGAATAAGTAATATTGTAAGCGTATATTGAATCTTGCAAGATAATTATGGAAATTAGAAAAATAATTCAATTTGAGCGTCTTAATTTGTTTTCATTCTTTTAATTTTGCCATAGGCATTACACAAAGTGCCAACAAAGGGTGGTTTAAGGTTTAGCGAACTGATTGAAATTAAAGGTGTTGAACAGATAACTAACGGTAAGTTACCTTATTCTCACTGTCGTCTTATTTTTAGAAAGATTTGAATGTACTTGTTACACTACATTTTTACGCTCTTTATTATCATATATCTATCTATCTATCTATATATATATATATATATATTATGCTCCAACTTTAAAGATAATACAAATATACTAGAGTTATCGATATCTTATTTTCTTAAATAGTGATTGTGAATCAAGTTATCGACGGTCAAATTGATCATCCAATTAAGCATACCAGAGACTTCAAAATGTTCAACAAAGATTGGTTGTATTTGAATCGGTATGAGAATATAAGTATCAATACACTTTATTTTTAAGACACATATACTTATCAAAATTGACTTTGTCTAATAGTGCTACCGATGAGTACATGGAAGGAGCATGAAAATTTCTACAAGAAATGAAGAAAAGGAAGCTGGATGCCAAAAAGTTTCTATGTCCATGTAAAGAGTGTAGGAATATGAGACATTATGATATCCAAACCATATATGAACACCTAATCATTAAGGGAATGGACCCTACATATAATGTTTGGTATCATCACGGAGAAGTATGTGAGGAGGATGATGTTGAAAAAGAAGTTGATGATGCTCTTATGTTGGAAGCAACCATCTTATATAAGAGCACATGTATTGGAGAGGAGGACAAGAATGATTCTTTTACATCAAGGAAAGACAAAAATATTTCTCACAATATCCAAGAGGCAAACACTCCATTGTACACTGGATGTACAAAATATACAAAGATATCATCAGCTGTGGCATTGTATAAACTTAAGACATATAATGGTTGGTCAGATGCTAGTTTCACAAGCCTTCTGGAACTTTTGTATGACATGCTTCCAATTGATAATGTCATTCCAAGATCTATTTATGAAGTTCGAAAATTGTTCATGGAATTTGACTTAGGCTACCAAAAAATCCATGCATGTGTAAACGATTGTTGTCTATTTAGAAATGAGAAAGAAAAGTTAGAAAGTTGCCCTGAATGTAATACTTCAAGGTGGAAGATTGATAGACAAACGAATGCAATCAAGCAAGGTATACCTGCTAAAGTATTAAGATACTTTCCTATCATTCCGCGACTTAAACGAATGTTTAAAATATATGAAGTGGGTGAAAGTTCACGATGGCATTCTCAACATAAAAGTACTGATGGAAAGATTCGACATCCAGTTGATTTTGTTGCATGGGAGTTGATTGATAAAAAGTGGCCTGAGTTTGCCATGGACTCTCGTAATCTTAGGTTAGGCCTTGCTACAGATGGTTTTAATCCATTCTCCAACATGAGCAGTTGGCCAGTCATGCTTGTTACGTATAACTTGCCTCCTTGGTTATGTATGAAAAAGGAAAATATAATGTTAACGTTGTTGATTTCTGGCCCTAGACAACCAGGAAACGATATTGATGTCTACTTACAACCTCTTGTGGAAGATTTATAACATCTATGGAAAGGAGTACAAGCCTATGATATTGTAAGTAAAACATATTTCAATTTAAGAGCAATTCTCATGTGGACTATAAATGATTTTCCTGCATATGGAAATCCTGCTGGATGCACCACAAAAGGTAAATACGCTTGTCCAATTTGTGGAGATAATACTCGGTCTCTTTGGTTGAAGAATGGAAAAAAGTATTCATATATGGGTCATAGACGATTCCTGTCAAAGTTGCATCCATATCGAAGGAAAAAAAACATGGTTTGATGGGAAAATAGAAGAAGAATTACCTCCCAAAATTGCAACAAGTAGTGCAATTTATACCAAACTTTAAGACTTTGAAAATTGTTGGGGAAAATGTGAAAGCTTAAAAAGAAAGAGCAAGAAACAATGCACAAGTCAAAGGTGGAAGAAGCGATCCATTTTCTTCGATCTACCATATTGGAAGGTTGACAAGCTCTAAATTTATGGTGTATTTTATTGAGTTTCAAGTTATTAAGTTTCAAACTTTGGCCACTGACCATTTGAAATGTAATTTATTGTGTAGGAATTACCAATACACCACAACTTGGATGTCATACATGTAGAAAAGAATGTATGTGAGAGTATTGTAGGTACAGTATTAGATATAAATGGAAAGTCAAAAGATGGAATTAATGCAAGAAATGATTTACAACTTTTGAAAATTCGGCCAGACCTATATCCTCAAGAGCGAGGTGGTCGAACTTACCTACCTCCTGCTCCACATACATTGTCGAAGTTTGAGAAGAAATTATTTTGTTCAAAGTTGTATAAGCTAAAGTTGCCTGATGGATACAGTTCCAACATTTCAAAGTGTGTATCATTACAAGATTGCAAAGTGATGGGATTGAAGTCTCATGATTGTCATGTATTGATGCAACAACTTTTATCTGTGGTGCTTAGATGCTTGCTCCCGAAAGGTCCAAGACATGCAATATATAGGCTATGTTCATACTTTAATAGACTATGCCAACGTGTCATTGATAGAGAAATTATGTTACACATTGAAAAAGAGGTAGTGGACATTTTTTGCCTTCTTGAACGGTACTTTCCACCTTCATTCTTTGATATAATGATGCACTTGGTTATCCATTTGGGACGTGAAGCTCGTATATGTGGTCCTGTTCAATATCGCTGGATGTACCCATTTAAAAGGTGAATTATTTGCTTCTTAATATCAAGTTGGTAATAATTGTGGTCATCTTCATAATCTTTATGTCTCATTTAGATATATGAAGGTATTGAAAAGTTATGCACGAAACAAAGCACGACCAGAAGGGTGCATTGCAGTGTGCTGTGTAGCGGATGAATGTGTAGACTTTTCAAAAAGGTATTTTAAACACTCGATTGAAGTTGCACATAATGAACATCATGATCAAAAATATGAAAATGATGTCATTCTAGAAGGTCGTCCTATATCAGCTGGGACTTCGATTACATTATCCGATGATGTACTAGAAAATGCACATCGATATGTCTTGTTCAACACAGCAGTGGTGGAACTGTTTATCCAGTGAATAATTTCCATCACGGTTAAAATCTAAGGTATTGTAGCATACTATTCCATGAACCATTGAAGATACAAAACTACAACACAGTCTATCTAACAAGTAGTTATTTTTGTTCTTAGCAGATTCAAATAGATTCATCCAATGTAGTTTACTCTGACTTGTTAAAATGGCTTGCTAAAGGACCAAGAAAATGTGCAATGTCTTACACAGGGTACATCATTAATGGACAACGATTTCAGATAAAGAGTTTGGAAAAATCAACCTAAAATAGTGGTGTTTCTGTAGATGCAGCTACATTATGTAGATCTAATGCAAAGGATAAATCGCAAGTTATGGACGTAGTTGCATACTATGGGGTCTTACAAGAAATTATCTTGTTAGATTATTATGCCTACCAACTTCCAATTTTTAAATGTGATTGGGCAAATGTTCGTAATGGAGTAAGAATTGAGGAAGGGTTCACTCTTGCTAACTTACATCAAAGTCAAAGCATATTTGTACGTGAGCCTTTCATCTTGGCCTCACAAGCCAAACAGGTGTTTTATGTTAGAGAAAATGATACCTCAAATTGGTATGTCTTATTAAAAGGACCACATAGAGGATTTCATGACTTTGATATGTACGATCATGAATATAATGGTACGATGGTTATCAATGAACAAATTCTAAGTACATTGGAAGACATTGATGAAAATGATGAGATCACTTATGCAAGAGAAGATTGCGAGGGCGTTTTTATTTGATGAACAATTTGGGACATTGTATAAATATTTTTTGTGAACATATTATACTTCATATATAATTTTTATTTTGTGATGATCCTTTTGTGATTGGTGTGTAATTGCATTCTTGATTTTATTTTCATTTCATGCATAATGATTATCTATTAATTTTGGTTTCAGGTTCGAATGGAGGGAGATAAGGTACCACCTCAAACTTTAGGACACAAAGAAGATATCGGTTGTTTAAAAGTCACTCGAAGAAAAATGTCTCATCATACTAAACATTTTGAAAAAAGTACGGGGGATATTGATATTACTCTACTTAGAAAATGTAGACGTAGAAAGATTTGTAGTAATGAAATGTTGCATGACCACAAATTACAAGTTGAAAGGGTTGAAGGAGAAAAATCACCTATACCTAACCACATATCTCCTATTATTGCCCTCCCTGAACCCTTTTCACCTAACGGTAATGGGAAGACATTGAAACCTAATCATATTTCAATTCCTACATTAGACTCCCCAGCTGCTCACACAAGATTAGCAACCAGTAGGCAATTTGAAGTTTGTAATGAAAATAGAACTGAAAAAGAAGATCATATAATTAGTGGAAACCCCCTTGAAACAATAACACTATCAAAAAGAAAAAGAGGCCCTACAAAGATGAAGACAATAGCTGTCGATGGACAATCTAGAGTGAAACTTGTTTTTAATGAATATGGACAACCCATAGGGGATGAATCAGTAGGATTGGCTTCTTTTGTTGGTCCACTTGTAAGGGAGGTTGTACCTGTGACATTAGAGAATTGGAAGAAATTACCTACAAGGCTAAAATTAGTGTTATGGAAGTCTATATGAAGTTATTTTAATTCATTTATCTAGTTTTAATAATCATTTGTATAATATTACTTCTAACTATTTGGTTCTTCAGTCAAGGTACATTGTGAACAACTATTGGCAGAAAAAGTTTCTTTTTCAACAAATGGGTAGATTATAGAGGGCTGAAAAATCTCGTATGGTAAAACAAATTCGCAATGCCCCAACAAAAGAAGCTCTACTGCACAGATAATTTGCAATCGGTAGATGATTGGATGGACTTTGTCAAAGAAAAAACTAGTGCAAATTTCATGGTAATGAATATTTATATATCGAAAAACTTACCCATGATATTTTTGAAATTATTATATACTTCGATATAACAAGAACATATGTTGTCCTATTGAGTAGTTGAAAAGTGAAAAGTTTAAAGCCATGAAGAAGAGACAACTCCCACATACATGCAGTAGGAAAAGATATGCCCGTCTGGCTGAAGAGATGGTAAATATCAATATTGTAGTTTTATTCTACTCTCATGTTATATGTGTGAATTTAGTATATTTATTTCATTTTGCAGAAGAAAAGTTCTTCGGATCCAACTTCGATATCAAGGATTATGTTATGGACAAAGGCTCACACAAAGAAAGATGGACAACCGGTGAATTCACAAGTTGCTGAGACACTCGTATGTTAAACATATTTGAAAATTACTTATTTTTAAGTTTGCAAGTATTATGTTTATTGATATCCTTTGTTTATGAAGTATGTGAAAGGGGCGGTTGAAGTGGTTTCCTATTGGTATGAGCGGTTGAACAAAATATAATTACTTATCATAAGATTGAGCGTATGTGGTGGTGGTGGTGGGGTGAGGGTAGGGGTGGGGGTGGAGACTTTTGAAAAAAGTACTTGATTTGATTTTTTTTTTCTTATAACATGTGTTAAACTTGTTTGAAAATGACTCTTTTTTTTATACTTCATTGGATATGTGAAAAGTTTGGAAGTATTGTGTTTGTTGGTGTCTCTTATTTATAATGTAAATGAAATGGGCAGTTGAAGTGGTTTTTTATTAGTAGGAGCACATTGAATAAACAACTGATTCTGTTGAGATGTTTTTGATCATGTCTCTTAACTTATAAGATGTGTGAAGCAATTATGGACAATTGACATTTTTTAAATGTAGGAGCGCATTGAACAAGCCGAGATTGAGACAAAAACTTCATCAAATAATATTGTTGATGATGCCTTGAGTAAAGTTCTTGGACCGGATCGTGGGCATGTAAGAGGACTTGGATTTGGAGTGACTCGTTCAAAATTGTCTCTCTTGTCTCAACAAGAAAATAGATACATGACTGTTGAGAAAGAATATTTGAAGATGGGGGAAGAAATGATGGAAATGAAATCAATGTTTTCAAGTTTTATGAAGAAACAGGTACATTTTTTAAAATTAAGTTATATAAATTTCACATTCATGAGTTTATTCCATATATATTTTAATTGAAATTTTCGTAGATTGACCTAACCGAGGAAGCCTCTAATGGTATTGGAAGTATACCAAAATCAACAAATATCCATTCAAATTTGACAATACCTTCTCCTACAGTAAGTTGATTTTCTAATTTAACGAATAAAATTATTGATTTCATTATTACTATCAAGTTCTCAATGCTTTTATTCTTCTTCTTGTAGAGCATCAATAATGATACTCAAATTAAGTGTAAGTTACTAGATTGGCATGACTCAGGAGAGATTGTTGCAGAAGGACAATGGTCTTCTAATGATCTAGCTGCTCTTGTTCATCATATCCCTATTGGACCACATGCTATTAGAGTATGGGTTGATATACCAAGGAAATGCAATGCCTGGCCTACATCAGAAATGACATATATTGAAGAAGCTGTGGGTAGTATAGTTGCTTCGCCATCCAACAAAGTAATTATCAGTATGTAATTTTTAAAGTTTATTTATTTAAATTAATGAAATAATTTTTTTATTAGTTAATTAAAGTGTTCACATAATCATATATTCAAATATATTTTGTATATTTATATAGGTGAATAGAGTGATGCATGCCTTATTCATGCCAATGATGAATTTGAAGATGACACTTCTCTACCTGATAAACTTGAAGCCAAACTTGGTGAATTTTGTATTTTGTAAACTACTTTATGTTTTTTTTTTTTTGTAATTGGGCAAAAACTTTATCTTGCATGGTTGAAACTTCCTCATTAATATGTAAGTAAATCATGAAACTTTGTTAAGAATGAGATAGAAAATATAATTGGGAAGGTGTGTATTATCATTGATATTGATATCCTTTAAATAGGATACAAGTTAGTACAAATGAGGAAAATATAAAATAATTAAATACTAGAATAAAATAAAATATACTATAAATCTAATCATAAATGGAAGAATATTAAGATATAATATCTAAGATATATTCCATAAATAATATATCTCAACACTCCCCCTCAAGTTGGAGAGTGTATGTTAATCACGTCCAACTTGTCTTTTAACTTGTCTTTACGGTAGGTAAATAACACCCAAGTTGTCTTTCACTCTTGTCTTTTCAATAATGAAAATATCCGTAAAAAAATAGACTGCCTTTGATTGGTTTGCATTTTTAGACTTTCAAGAAATTATTGAATTTTCAAGAAAGATGCAAGACTCAGAAATAGGCCGCAATGATTGACTCGAGGATTGGTAACTTGTCCCATTTAATTTGATTTGGAACAAGTGAATATCCTCCCTGATCATTTCTTGGTCCATGCATAAATGCTTTAGAAATAGACCGCAATGATTGACTCGAGGATTGGTAACTTGTCCATTTAATTTGATTTGGAACAAGCGAATATTCTCCCTGATCACTTCTTGGTCCATGCATAAATGCTTTAGTGGATAATAACACCAAGATCGGTGCTTTGGATCACTTGAGAGGCTGTGAAAGAAAATACGAACATCTTGAATATGTCACCTTAGAGCTTGGTGAGAAATTTGAAGATGCTTATAATGTATTCTTGATATTGGATGATTGACGATGGTAAAGACTTCACTGATTGGTTAGGGTTTGGCTTTATGTTTAATACTCCCCTTCGACTCAGAGTCCAAGGGGGTATTAGGAATACCACGATCGATGCTTTGATATTAGGAATATCAAGATCGATGCTCTGATACCATGTTAAGAATGAGATAGAAAATATAATTGGGAAGGTGTGTATTATCATTGATATTGATATCCTTTAAATAGGATACAAGCTAGTACAAATGAGGAAAATATAAAATAATTAAATACTAGAATAAAATAAAATATACTATAAATCTAATCATAAATGGAAGAATATTAAGATATAATATCTAAGATATATTCCATAAATAATATATCTCAACACTCCCCCTCAAGTTGGAGAGTGTATGTTAATCACGTCCAACTTGTCTTTTAACTTGTCTTTACGGTAGGTAAATAACACCCAAGTTGTCTTTCACTCTTGTCTTTTCAATAATGAAAATATCCGTAAAAAAATAGACTGCCTTTGATTGGTTTGCATTTTTAGACTTTCAAGAAATTATTGAATTTTCAAGAAAGATGCAAGACTCAGAAATAGGCCGCAATGATTGACTCGAGGATTGGTAACTTGTCCCATTTAATTTGATTTGGAACAAGTGAATATCCTCCCTGATCATTTCTTGGTCCATGCATAAATGCTTTAGAAATAGACCGCAATGATTGACTCGAGGATTGGTAACTTGTCCATTTAATTTGATTTGGAACAAGCGAATATTCTCCCTGATCACTTCTTGGTCCATGCATAAATGCTTTAGTGGATAATAACACCAAGATCGGTGCTTTGGATCACTTGAGAGGCTGTGAAAGAAAATACGAACATCTTGAATATGTCACCTTAGAGCTTGGTGAGAAATTTGAAGATGCTTATAATGTATTCTTGATATTGGATGATTGACGATGGTAAAGACTTCACTGATTGGTTAGGGTTTGGCTTTATGTTTAATACTCCCCTTCGACTCAGAGTCCAAGGGGGTATTAGGAATACCACGATCGATGCTTTGATATTAGGAATATCAAGATCGATGCTCTGATACCATGTTAAGAATGAGATAGAAAATATAATTGGGAAGGTGTGTATTATCATTGATATTGATATCCTTTAAATAGGATACAAGCTAGTACAAATGAGGAAAATATAAAATAATTAAATACTAGAATAAAATAAAATATACTATAAATCTAATCATAAATGGAAGAATATTAAGATATAATATCTAAGATATATTCGATAAATAATATATCTCAACAAACTTCAATGAAGAATGAATACTTTTTTTTGTATTTAATGTGTTATAAAATATCTTTATTAGGATAGGAAAAATGTATAACCGAGCGGTATAAAGAAATTTATAGAAAAAATAAATGCTATCGATATGCATATAATTAAATAATTATAAATGATTCATTACCTAGATAGCATACTATTTTAGCTATATTAAACATATTATAGCTTAATAAACATTGCTATAAAACGTTTTCATGACAACCAATATAAGCTATAGATTCATACTATATTATAGCATTCATTATAGCTATAAAAAAACGCTATATAAGTCTCAAACTTTTAATAACATGGGCTATCACGACGTACGAAAAACGCTATGAAAAGTCTATGATATCATTTTTCGTAAGCTATCGTACTTGTTGTTTGTTGTAGTGGCAAATGGGTCTGATATTTTGAAGAAAATCAAACACATAATTGAGACATCCCAAAAATCTCTGAAGTTGGGTTTTATCCGTGATTTAATTCGAAAAATTTGAGGCAAATTCAATGGATCTTTTGAATGGGTTTAATTAGACCCAAATGAACTTCAAATACAAAAAACTCAATTTTGATTGAAAAAGTTAAATTTTAGCTTAGACTCAACTAAACCATTTTTTTTACTCGGGTAAAAAATGTTTGAAGATGCTTAAAATGTTGATCGATATTTTGAGAAAAAATCAGAACATTGTCAATATAAACAATTGAAAAGTATTGAAAAGGATTGAAAATATCATTCATAAATTTTTGAAATTCTGACGGAGCGTTTTTTAGCCCAAATGGCATAGCGTTCCATTCGTATCGTCTGAAAGGGAGGTTAAAAGCTGTTTTGTATTTGTCTCTTTCTGAAATCCGGTTACGACAGAATCCTGACTTCATATCAAATTTTGAAAATACTTTCGCATTTGAAATTTTTTGCATTAAATCTAATTTATTTGGAATTGGATATCTAATCCATTCCAAAACCTTATTTAAGGGTTTATAGTTTATTACCAGTTGCGGGACTTCACGTTCCTTCCCTGCTTGTTCTTGACGTAAAAAGTCGTGCATGACCAGGGCATCTTGGATGACCCTTTTGGAAAAAATCATTAATTTATGCTTCGCAAAATGTTACTAATTCTTTATTCATTTGAATAGGTCGGGCCCTTCGTAGAAATATTTTTCTCCATGAAGTTTTTGATATAAGGAAGATTGAAATGGTATAATTGAGTAATGAAAGGAGTACCTAGGATTAATTCTTGTCCTTAATCGAAGACTAATAATTTGTTTGTACTTCTCCTTCAAAAAATTTAACATAACAATTTCTCAAATTTCCAACTTTCTTCCATGGGTAACCCAAAACAAAAGTGAGAAATTAGAAAGCTGGAAAGTTCAGACATTATTTATTCAAAGTATAATTTGTTAAAGTGTAATGCATTCCATTGTATAATATGAAAACAAAGGCGGAAATGAAAGAAAATATATGAAATCAACAATAGCAATGACATACATGATGACTCCCAACATGCTTACAAAATCCTCCTTTCTCACATCCAGAAATGCAGTGAGTCCAACATTTGCCATCGGCTTGATTGTCTACTCCAGCTTGCAAGCTCCCAAACTAGGATGGTTGTTACAACACAATTGAGTCTTTGCATTCAAACTCCCAGTAACTCTACTCATTAATTTTCAATAAGAAAAAAACAACACTAAAAATTTATTTAATAAGAAAAAGAAGGTAATGAAGAAGCAGGTGAACATTGCTCCTACTTTTGTCATTTCTTTTGATTGTGTTGTAAAAAATTGTTGAAATGTGTGATGTAGTTGCAAAGGAAGATGGTGGATTTTTATTGTACAATTTTGAGGACAAACTTTATAACAAAGCTTATTACTGACACAATCTGTATCAAACTTTGAAAGGAAAATATGTAAATTAGTCTGTATTAAACTTTGAAAGAAAAATATGTAAATTATTTTTAAACCGATTTAAAGATTAATTTTTTACCATATAAATTTATTTATTTCTAACCACTTACATTTCACCCTATCAATATTATATAAACATTTCACCCTATCAATATTATATAATATGCATTGTAATTTATCTTTTTTTTTCTTTTTTTATGTCCAAGAGAAGCATATACTTTACCATTTATCACGAGAAACAATATATTAATAAGAAGTTTGACAATTTGAAATATTACATATATAGGTTGTGTATTAGTATATCGACCACGTTGAAATTAGAAAATGCAAACACATGCAAGTCTCCTCGTATGTTCACGGTCTTCTTCGTTGATCACAGTCAGCATTGACAACAATTAATGGGCAGCCAGCATGTCCTCTTCACCTTTTCTCATTACATCACTATAATGACCAAAATTTTAAGCTCCTTGAAGCATGAACTGCAATATAGTGTGATTTGGAACGGATAAAAATACAATATCAAACAGAAAAGAGCTTGGAAGATTTTGTGATCAATATGGATGCAAGGGGATAGAAGCTCCCTCGACCTCCAGAAGATAGAAGGTCAAAACGTATAAAAAATCATATAGGCCTAGAGAAAAGTATTGGAGTAAACCCATGCAATCTCAAAAGCCAACATATTCAAAGAAAAGGTATGCCTCTACAAAAAAAACTCCAGAAGAAGGGCACTATGTCAATAAGTGTCCGATAAGAGGAAAGATCAATGAATTAGACATTGATCAAGATCTGAAAAATCAGTTACTACAATTAGTTTTAACCGATTCAGAATAATTCAGCGATGGAGAAATCCTTGAACTTCAAGAAGAATCCGATTCATATTCTAGCACAGAATACGAATCAGAACAAGAAGGAAAAAGAACATGCAAAGGATGCATAAATGACAACCTATAAAGAAATACTAGCACGATACATGAATGAAGTTGAAAGTAATGTACATATTCAACCATTATTTTGATGAAAGTAGAAAAAGCAAATAATAAAGAAACAAAGAAAAAGAAAGGTAAGGATAAGGAATATGTCAGAAGACATATTCATCCACGGATTTTTTTTTTTTTTTACATGTAGTTTTTCGACTATTCAGTCCTTTGCAAAAGATGAATTTTTAACAAGGTTGTTAAGAATCCAAAAATGGATCATTGAGATTGTAGAAGACATGTTGAAAGCATGCGTGATTGACTTCGCCTGTGGTTCGGACGAATACCTGCACCTTATAGAATTTGCATATAATAATAGTTACTAGGCGACCATACAGATGACACCTTTTGAGGCCCTATATGAGCGAAGGTGTCGGTCTCCAATTTTCTGGGAAGAAGTGGGAAGGTGACAACTGTTAGGGCCAAATTAGTCCAACAAACGAATGAAGCAGTGCAAAAGATTAGAGTACAAAGCCGACAAAAGAGTTATACAGACACGCGGCGCAAGACTCTAGAATTTACTGTTGGCGATCACGTCTTCTTAAAAGTAGCACCCATGAGGGGGGTGATGATGTTTGGAAAGAAGGGCAGACTGAGCCAAGGTTTATCTGTCCTTTCGACGTCCTGGAGACAATTGGTTCTATGGCGTACCGACTAGCCTTGCCTCCTGCTCTGGCTGCTGTTCACAACGTGTTCCACGTGTCTATGTTGCGTAAGTACACCCCAAATCCTTCTCATGTGATTGAGTATGCAAATCTTCCTTTGAGGGAGGACTTAAGTTACGAGGAGGAGCCCATCGGGATTGTAGACACGAAAATACAAGCTTAGAAATAAGGAAATATCGCTTGTCAAGGTGGTATGGAATAACCATCGCGTTGAGGAAGCAACCTGAGAGTTAGAGAGCAAGATGAGGACCAAGTACCCATGTTCTTCAGGGATTAAGAAACTTTTGGGGACTAAAGTTCTTGAGGGGGAAGATTGTAAGAGCCATACAACTGGCAATAAGTGAGGAGAGAGAAAAGCCAGCTGTACTAGGAGAGAGAAAAGCCAGGTGTACTACTCTTTTTTTAGGGTTTAAAAAAAAGAAAAGGAAGGCCGCAGGGAGGAAAAGAGAAGAAGAAAGAAGTAAAAAAAGGAAGAAGAAGAAGATAGAGGAGAGGGTGGAGCGGAGGATTTTTGTACTAGTGGTGTGATTTTTGTTGTTATTTTCTAAAACCCTAATACATTTCATTGGATCGGTGTACCTAGGTTATTGTCGAGGGAAGTTGGTGAGTCCTTGTGAAGAAGAAGGCATGGGGTGTTGAGAGGAAAGAAAGATCAAGAAGAAGGTGGGAAGAAGAGGTCAAAAACTGAGAGGGCAGGACCTAACCCGACCCGACCCACCTGTATAGAACCGAAACCTGATTTTTCCCATTTCACACCATTTGATTCGTCTTTATTTAGATTTAGATTTAGGTACTTGACTCACACATTCCATAATGCCTTATTATAAGAAAATTCCAAGCTTAGTCAAGGGGACACTTGAAGACTCGATAAAGTTTTGGGAAATCTACGATCAGGTAAGTAACCATCTAAAGAAAGATTTTAAGTAATTGCTTGTAGGAGTCGGTTTGGATTTGTGGCCAACCAATTTAGTACCGTATTTAGGAATGGATAAAGTTAGTTCATGGAGGTGGTACTTCGATAACGTGTGTGGTTGTACTTTAATTGTCGTTATGGTTATATAGTCTCGTTGGCATGATTGTGAAATTTCGTATAGGCGTATGGGATGGTATGTTTTTATGTTAAGCTAGATGGTTATTACGTGACTTAGCATGGCAACGTGTTGTTGTCGTGGTTCTTTGTTAGGCATTGGGTGTGGGGCTTGGGTAGCCCATTGTTACCCTTTGTGAGTTATCATAAGTTATAAGCACATAGACGATAGTGTACCGTTTTCGTAGTCACCTACAAGGGGTTGAGGGTAATTATAGTATATTACTATGGTAACACATCAGAGGTGCTTAGTGGGATGAGCCATGACCTTTTACGGATCCAGCCGAGTGGCATAGTGACAGGTAGTTAATGTTCCTAAGACAGGTAGTTTTACTGATCTGAGCTGACAAGGGCGTAAGACAGGTAGTGACTGACCCGACTTAGAGAGGCACAGTGGCAGGTAGTTATTGATCTTAGGAACAGTTAGATGTTGTCAAGCGCCACTAGGTCTCTGACTAGTGATTATTCGAGCACAAAACTTAGGATCCCGTGAATAGGGCTAAGTTCGACGAGAGCATACGAGTAAGTTGCTTACTGGGTATTGTTTATATACTCATTCTGTGTTGTTTCTATTTTTTCAGGAGAAAAGTAGATCTGGGTTGGTGGCGGGGACGTATGGAGTCGTGCAGCTGCAGAAGGAGACCCTTAGATTGAGTCCTCTTCTCCCATGTCGTTTTGGTTATGATTTTGACATTTTTGGAAAACCTGCGATATTTTGTAACCTTTTATTTTTATATGACTCCGCGGATTTTCGTTATGTATTTTGTAGTATTTTTTTAAAATGTATATCAGGCAACTTTTAACTTTTAGTCCCCCGTTCAAACTACAAGTATTGAAAAGTTTTTTTTTTTTTTTTTTGCTCTTGAGTCCACGTGGTGACTCGTGATTCGGTATTTTTGAAGATCGATCATTACAGTTTTGGAAGGAGAAGACGTTGAATCAACGGATGCGACTTCTTGAAGAAGCTTTTGAAAATTAGCTTCTAAAGTTGTCTGGGCTAATGCAGCAAGCAGCCTAGACTTTGAATTAAGAAACTCGGTGGTCTTCTTCTTCCATAAATCCTGAAGGTGGCCATTCTCAAATAACCAAACCTTTACAGCTTTGAAATCTGCGTGGGTATGAGTGTATTTATCTCACCATTTGATTTTGATAACTTTGGAGACCTGTTTTACCTAGTGTTTAGTTTCCTTTATTTGGAAATTACAGGTTAGAATCCAAGGAATTTGAAAATATACGCAAAAGTGCATTGCTAATGGAGATGGACTTTTGAAGATATTTTGGACGAAGTAGGGGAACGATTTCTGTATTGGAATGAAAAATATATCTTTGGCCGATCCAAAGATTTTCCACCATTTCATGAACCAAAATGGGTAATGAATTTTGTGAGCATTCTTTCAAAATTGAATAAACCACGAGTGCTCGTAATTTTGATACCAAATGACATTGAACCATGTCATCTGATAATCTCTTGTATCAGAAAGTGTGGGGAACAAAGGGTTTTGAAAAAGTCTTCTCCATGTACGGATCTTGATTCCAGTACGTCGGATTCATGACTTTGAAAATTTTTAATTTTGAGTACGCGATTTTTGAAGGATCATCGCGACTCGGAATATGAGTAATTTCAACAGACTTGGTATTGACCAAAATGAATTCATAAAACCTTCTGGTCTTATGAAGATCTTCCGGGATATAGAAAAATCCCGATGGATAGGCTTTCTTGACGACCTCGCTAATCTTTGGATCGTCGTATTCTTATTCTACCAGAGCTTCTGGTAGAGATACAAATTTTTGCAAATAGGTCCTGATTTAAGAAACTGGAGAAAATCAAACGGGAACAACCGCGTTCGAGTAGGTTGAGGGGACAGAAGATCCCTTTGAAATGGAGGTGTCGATGGAGTAACGGCAGATAGTTGTGTTGAAGAGGCAAAGGCCTCGTTAGAGTGATAACCTCCGCTTGTTTTTTAGAAAGTCTTGCTTTAGACCTGGTCACCAATGTGAAACCAGCATCCATCGCATAACTGTCAGACGTCATTGGAGTAGGGGTGTTTGAAGAAGCAATGGGTGTAACGACCCGAAATTTTCCACTTAATTTAAGGTCGCTACTGTATACATACCATAAACATTGAATGTGGAAGACTTCATTTAAATTTCATAAAACATAACCTTTAACTTAAAAACACAGCCATGGACTTACGTGTTTTGAAAACATCTTTAAACGACACAACAAAAGACCTGAAACAAAATAAATAAGCGTTTAAGTTTAAAACATCCTATTCTATCCTAAGTCTAGGAAAATAAATACCACTAGCCTATACATGTGCCATGATCTCGAGTTGCGATGCCGTCATCAGCCGTACAGGAATGCCTTGCCTTAACCTGAAAAATGTAGTAGCACATGGCCTGAGTATTTAAAGAAATACTCTAAGTGACCCCACTATTGGGGTTAAATGCAACAATCACATGCAATGAAATGATGGGACCTATCTTTCGTTTCGTTTCGTTTCGTTTCATTTCGTTTTCCCAACGGTGTAATCCTAACAGGTAATCGTGGACGTGTACCATATACTCTACACGCAGCCCATACGTGCGAGTATGGGCTCACTAGCTAGTTCGCACACCGCTGGGCCACTGTCCCTAGCCGGTGGGCATGCTCTGAGGGCCCACCGGGACCCGTTAAAACTAAAACCGTCACGGCAGCGCTATGCGGAGCATAACGATCGTTGTCCTGCCATTTGGATGTACGCGTCCGTACCCTCGTGATGGGATAGGGGTATCCCCCCAAATGCATGAACACACAATATGCATGAGGTCCCACTAGTCCTACAGTCATCATTTAATGAGCATAACCCCGCGCCACGTTTTCATGCTTATATGTCATTCTCATTCTCATTTCGTTACGTATCATACATATTCCTAGCGGGGTTATGTATCGTGCAATTTACCGTATTTCATGTCATACAATTCATTCAGTTACATTCCAATACCCATACAACAAGCCATAATCGTACAAGGGCCACACATCGTCACATGCATTCATATCACATCAACTAAGCAGCATAAATAACATACATTCACGTTCACATGATTTCGTACTTAAGCACAATAATCTAGCATACAATGGATCATATCATAACCAAGTCATAACGTAAACACTTCATAGTCATATTGTTCTCTAACTTACCATAGCCTTAACGTTCTTATACCTATCACAGACATATCATTACGTGACGTACCTTAGTCATATCATCACCAGAACGTATCCTAACGCCATCGTTCTATCAATCTATCACAAACCTATCCCTTTCTACCCATAACCTAACCGTATTCTTTCATCAATCTCTCCTATCCATAGCACTCCAGTATGTAACCTAATCTAACGTTTCGTGAACGTATCTTACTCCTATCGTTACATTTTGTTTTGTGCATCCTTCTCGTATCCTATCTCAAACATCTCCTAGAGCACATCGTACCATAATTATTATCATACAATCCACATATTATATAGCATAACATAACATATAGGAAGCATATCGATCCACAGACAATTCACACATATCAATATATATGACGCGTGCCGAACCACAGGGCACGTGTCAACATCAAATATAACCATGCCGATAGTAAGGTCACTTACCTGGCTAGCTTAAGTCGTTGTCACAAATATATCCTTAATGAAAGTTCGATTCCGTCCTTTGAAATCCGAGTCAACCTATATGAGTTCATGACATCAATTTCAAGTTGAACTCTATACAATTATTTCTCTAATTTACCTTGTTAAAATTCTGATATTTACTGTTACACAGAATTTAATTTCATGCCCTCTGATATCTCCTATTATATTTTTAAATTATGTTTAACAAATCTTCCCTCAATCTTCCCTCCTCCTTCATGGTAATTATTTTCATTCCCATTCTGTAAATAGATTCTCAGTTTTGTAAATATCTGTAAATAAGATATTACTCTAATTCTATATTTATTTTCATTATGTAAACCGATATTATTGACTAATTTTAATTTGGCTACTATCTTACAGATTTATGGATCTGCCAGCTAAAATTATATTGATTCTAACCTTATTTCCTATAACTTCCGATGCTAAAAAAAATCTAATTAATTGAACGTGGGATTTGATTATTACATACGGTAAGATAGGAAAGAAGATTTGATCCTAAATTAATTTCTTATAAGCATAACTATAAAAGAGAAGGAGTTCTGAGATAGAATTTTACCGTAATATCTGACAAAAATCTCTAAATCTGCAATCTGTTCAAATACTTCTTCTCAAATCTGACGATGGTTGTTTTCTGTTTCTTTCTCTTTTTTTTTTTTTGTCAGGTTTTCTGTTTCTTTTTTTTGCAGCGTACATGGGCAGAGGAGAGATAATTGTGGGAAGGGATGAGAGGTTAGTGGAGAGGGATGGGGAAAGGTTTATTTTTTTTATTTTTTTTATTTTTTTATTTTAATTAATTAATTTATTTTTTTTATTTTTTTTATTATTATAATTTTAACTATTTTTTATAATTATTTTTATTCTTTATTTCTTTATTTAGGTTTGGGCTATTACAAAGGGCTTCTTCTCTTTTTCCACTGTCTTCTTTTCAGTCATCTCGAGGTGAAGGAGATTGGTTAGGGAGAAGATTTCTTCAGAGTAAGAACTCTCTTGAGAGGTAGTATGCCAAGGGGTTTTTGACCCCTTTTATAAGAAAAATTTGAAAGTCAAAACAAGATAAAATTACTTGCCATCTAGCAAAAATTTGTTCAGATACGAGATTCTTCACATCCTTTACTAAAACAAATTTGGATGCTCTGGAATCCGTTTTGATAAAAAAGTTTTTGTTAATTAAATCATTTTGAAATTTCTGTATGCAGAGTACTCTTGAAAGTATTTCTTTCTTTACTATTAAGTAATTCTTTTGAGTAGAGTTCCATATTCCCGAATGAAAACTGACAATGGATTCTTTCTTGAAAAGAACTGTTTGAGGATTCCTCCATATCTTATATTGGATGCGTCGGTCTCCATTATTAAACTAGCCCTCGAGTTTATCAGAGATAAACACGAAATTGATTTGACAAGGGATTTGATTTTTTAGACTGTTTTCGTGTGTTCTTCGGTCCAAGGCTTTAGATTCTTTTTAAGCATCTCAAAAAGTGGTTTGTAAATGGGTTTGATATTTTGAAGGAAATCAGACATATAATTGAGACATCCCAAAAATCTTTGGAGTTGGGTTTTATCAGTGATTTGATCCGAAAAATTTGAGGCAAACTTAGAGTTGGGTTTTATGAGTGATTTGATCCGGAAAATTTGAGGCAAACTTAATGGACCTTTGGATTGGTTTAATTAGACCCAATGAATTTCAAATTGAGGAAGACTAATTTTTGTTTGAAAAAGTTTAATTTTTGGTTTGGACAACTAAACCATTTCTTTTGACTGTTGTAAAAAATGTTTGAAGATGCTTAAAATGTTGATCGATGCTTTGAGAGAAAATCAGAACATTGTCAATATAAACATTGAAAAGTCTTGAAAAAGATTGAAAATATCATTCATAATTTAGCGTTTTTTAGCCCAAATGGCATAACTTTCCATTCGTATTGTCCGAAAGGGACGTTGAAAGCCGTTTTGTACTTGTCTTTTTCTGAAATCTGGATTTGCCAAAATCCTAACTTCATATCAAATTTTGAAAATACTTTTGCATATGGAATCCTTTGCATTAAATCTGATTTATTTGAAATTGGATATCTAATCCATTCCAAGACCTTATTTAAGGGTTTGTAGTTTATTACCAGTCGT